ACCTGCAGACCCCAAAGCAGGCATCCAGAACCCCAAGCCCCAAAACCACCCGAATCGCCAATCGCCAGTGGGTGCAAGGCCTGGCCATGGAGCATAGTGCCCGGTGGGAGCGACGGTGCCTGATTTCTCTGGGCTCCAAAGAGGATCCAAAGCTTCGGGGTGTAGCGGCCGCAGTTGAGGTCCCGACGGCGATGGCTGCCGGAGTGATCTGGTAGCCTCCTGAGGCAACGAGTTCCAGGTCTGAGTGTTCACTACCAGCATGATCGCTTCTTTCACCTTCGGCACTGTTATGCAACTCATGCCTCCATCGTTCAGCTGTCTTTGCCATGGACCCGGCACCACGCCCAAAGCCTGTGCAATGGCCATGCACAGTTTGCGCTTTGCTTGAGCAGGCTTACTGTTCAGGTTCCAGCAAACGGTGTCAGCAGCAGCTGGAGCAGTCGTAATCGTCGTCGTCGTCATAGTAGCAGTAGCAGTAGCAGTAGGAGCAGTAGTAGTAGTAGTAGTAGTAGCAGCAGCAGTAGTAGTAGTAGTAGTAGTGGTGGTGGTGGTGGTGGTGGTGGTGGTGGTGGTGGTGGTAGTGGTAGTGGTAGTGGTAGTAGTAGTAGGAGTAGTAGTAAGGGTAGGAGTACCAGTACCAAGAGCAGCGTAGCCGAGCCTCCGGTGGAACTTTCAGCCTGGCAACAGGTTGTGTCAGCATGTGCATGTACCACTGTTCAAGCCAGACTTGTCAGCAGGATCACTTCTCTCGGCAAACTTGCAAAGCCTATGGCAAACATAATCTCTTACAAGGCTCCTTGCACCATGGAAGGGCGATACCTGGCTTCCCAACCCCAACTTTCGATACCGTTCTCAGCGCCAACAGCAAAACAAGCCGGGCTTCCTGTGAAGCTGTCGTGGATCTATCTCGAAGGAGCAGTGGGGGCACCGGATGTTGTTAGGAACCTGCGGAAGTCAACAGCAGACTTGTCCGGGAAGCCATGGATGAAGAAAATAACGGCTTTTCACGCCCTGTGAAGCTGGTGCCCTTCAAAACGAAGTGTGGCGGATGCTCGGCTGTTCACTTTCAGAATTTCGTCGGCCCTGTCCTGGCTCAAGAAATCCTTCTACCAACGACTTCTCTTGCTCAATCAAGCTGCTTAGGAGCGGGTCTTAAAACAAGTGAGGCTGTCTTTTAAAACCCTCTTCTGCTTCAAATCTCAAACCAGCAGAGTTTGCTGGCCTTGGCGCTCGCCTTGGGGCTGCTGTGCCTCTTGGCTTTCGGTGGCTCCGGCCGTGGCGGCGTCTTCGTGCCTCGACTACTTCTTCTATTGCTACCACTCCACGACGACTGCCGCGGATACTACTTGACTACTCCTACTGCTCCTCCTCCTGCTGCTACTACTACTGCTACTGCCCTTACTCCGTTACTGCTGCTGCTACTGTCACTACTGCTGCTACTGCTACTTGTACTACTGCTGCTACCTCTACCACTGCTGCTCCTACTCCTACTCCTACTCCTACTCCTACTCCTACTACTACTACTACTACTACTGCTGCCACCACCACCACCACCACCACTACGACTACGACTACTACTACTACTACGACTACTACTACGACGACGACGACTACTACTACTACTACTGCTCCTACTCCGACTCCTACGCTGCTAACCGCTGCTACCAGGAAGAGCTGTCAGCGGAGCCTGCATGAGTGGAGGTCTCTAGAATCACCCGGAGGGATTTTCGCCCCTTGCTCACACCCTTGCCGTCTGGAATGTCCGTTCTTCTGAATAGCAGGAAACCGGAGCTGACAAACAAATGAATGGAGACCCTTCCAAATCCCAGCTTCTCCAGATCGACAACTGCAGCTGATGCCAGGGACCGCACCTCTGGGACTGGACGCACCTGTATGAGAACTACGACACCCACTGCTTGGGGAACTGACAGGCAGGTTTAGATATCGTATGAGGATGCATATACGCGCTTGGCCATCATCGCATACTTCCAGACCCTTGCACGAAACTGCATAGGTGGCGGCGACAACGTGCTGCCCATCATTCCCTTTTCCAACCGTCATAAACCCTTAACCCTGAATCGAATGGGAAGCCTTGCCGATCGGTTAAGGCCAACAAATCATCCCGCTGCTCGCCATGCTCTCTCAACCACTTGGCCAAACATCAGAATGAAGTTCTTAGTAACCCCTTGGCTCAAGGCAAGCAAACAATAACTCCTAAGGAGCACCGAGCACCTTCAGACCTTTAGCATCTTCTCTTCGATAACTTGGGACTGGCCTTTGGCTCCAGTGCTCTTCGCCTGACATTGGGAGCTATTCCATGCGGGGCGCTGTGTTCAGAGAGGGAGACAGAGAGCCGTTGACACACTTCCGGGCGTAGGCACTTCTGTTCTGACCCACAGCTGATATAGGGCCTGGTAGTCAGTTCTAATACTATGACTCTGATTTTTGGCACGTGCGTATTACTAGTTGTTCCGGCCCCTGCATGGCTGCCCGTTTTGAGCGGCGGTGGCTGCGTCCTCAGGTGCCCACCTCGGGCTCTGCTTTGGCAGGGGCGGAACTCGCCTGAGCCAAACCGACAATCTCCGAGTACCGACATCGACCAAAGCTAGGCATGCCGCATACATCTGCGACATCTCCTCCCAAAGGTCGTCGTAGAGGTCCTCGCCGGCTGCACTCGTAATGGTAGCACACGGCATCAGGTGCATGACTCTTCAAATTGAGATATGTCAGCCCTACGCCCTTGCTTGCTGTACCGGTTGTAATAAGTTGTAACCACTCTAAACGGCTCACTTCTCGAACGAACATCTTGCTCGGCTATCATGGCGACCAGCTCCAGCGGTCATTTCAGTGCCTGTGAAGACGTAGGCAGGCAACCATTGCGACTCGCAAGGATAGTCATGTCCACTCGTTGAACGGGAAGCACTGCCGTATCTTCAGTGTTCTTATAGAAGATATTCTCGCTCCCTCGACTCTAGTCAAGGACCCGACCCCGACACGCCTGAATACCTTTAACACATTATCCGAAGACGAGACAGCTATCTCTGAGCCCTCGGTTCCAACTCAAAACAAGCCGCCCAAATCATCGGCCTCAAACTCTGCCTGTACAATCTTGCCATCCTGGCACAAACATCTCAGGAATATCAAACAACGCGCAGCGAAGCCGCTACGAGTGCTTGCTTGGAACCGTCACCTCTTTTTTCAGATTGCTGCGGCCGGGGTGGGGGCCTGCCGTGCTCAGCCTACTTTGATTGCTGTCCCTGTCGAGGGGCCTTGCTCTTGTCCAACTCCTCGAGGACGTTTTTGACGACATCCGGAGACAGCGGCTTCTGAACCTTGCAGATTGCAGGATTGCAGAGATCTTGCAAGTCTGGACTCCAGAGCTTCCTAAAGCGCTGGGGGCGTGGCCTGGTACGTTTTCCAGATGTGCTTCCTTTAGAGTTTGCAGCTTCGGATGCAGGGCATGGCTTTAGATGCTCTTTCTCTTTCTGCATGCTTCGGAGAACCGTCTAGTGAGATGGTGTGGTGGTCGTTCAGTGACGTGGAAACCTGAGGAGAAAGCAGCAGGCTGTCAACCTCCTCTCGTTCAAGGATGCCGCTGCCGTCCTCGTCGCTGATTGCAGACGGCAGTCCCACGGTGATTGCTTCCGGAACATCGTCTACCGGGATTCGGACCTTGTCGAAGTCCTGCCACATCTGCCTGTGGATATGCTGCACTGCCGTTAACCCTAGGTCCTGGGATGCGAGGGACGGGTGGGAGACGTGGCTCCCTCTCCCAAAACAAATGGATGCTGCCTCGCCGGAACCTTCTGCGCATTTTGACCTCAGTGGAACCACGCTATGGGCCCAAGGGAGCCAGATGAACATGTTGACCAAAACGGATGGAGCTCGCATTTTACAGCAGGTAAGTTGAAATTGCTGACGCTGCCCCACCAGGTGCAAACTGAGGATGAGGGCCCATGTCTGTTCGCCAGGATCCATTCGATTCAGCTCAGCATGGCTCAAGCCTAATTTCTGTCCTATGTCATGCAGGAGACTGGTGCTACGAGTGCATCACGCAAGGATGGTGCTACACAATCCTGTGTGTCGGGAAGATGAAACTGTCAGTTTCGGACTTCGGACTGCTCGGCTTCGGTGCAAAGAGCTGGCAACAAGGGCACAAGCTGCGCAACATGGAAGACTATGGGAGTTTCCGAAAATTAGGGGTACCTTATTTTGGGCTCCTTGTATAAGGATCCTACACTATATTAGGGTCCCCTATTTGGGAAACTCCCATATCGCTTCATGTTTGGGACAAGGTGCTTTTTCTGCGGATGCAGGCAAACTTCAGACAGCATACCTATTTTGAGCACTACTTCGGTGCCTCACTCGTCTTGTTCACTCGTCATCCGCCGCGGGCTCCATTGGTTCATCTGAGTCCTTTGAGTTTGTGCCATCAGCTTCCTTCTCCTGCTGCTTAATCTTTGCCTCTGTGGTATCATCCTTGTCATCTTTCTCTTCTTCGCCTTCATCCAGCATCGTCTCTTGGAAATCGTCCTGATCCTTCTTGCTCAGCCCAGCCGGAGGGACCGGGTTCCGTGTCTTGCTTTCGTCGGCCTTCTCAGCCGCCAGCTCCAGCGTGTCGTCCTCGCTGACATTCACGGTGGGCTGGGTTTTGTCGGTCAGCACCAGGCCACAGCCAACGCTGAGCATCGACAGGGCCACAAGTACACGGAACATGGCCGAATCTCGCGCCAAGAGTCGAACTTCGTTAAGGTATACTGTATGCTGCGGGCAACCCAGCTAGCTAAGCTTGGGCCAAAGGAACCAGCCACACCACAAAGAACTTGCCACCAGGCATGTCATGCTATCATTTCACTCTGAACTAGTACGTTTGCTTGGGACACTCAACATCATCATGCCCGCGCCTTTGTCCACGGCAGGCTTGGTCTCTCGCGAGGTCCTGTGACTTGCCTGTACATGGTCAGCGTCTTGAGCTCTAGCACCCATCGCGATAAAGGGGCTCATTTGCTCTTCTTGGGTGCATCCTTCGGCACAGCAGGTGCAGACTTTGGCTTGGGGGGCTCAGCCTCATCGCCCATATCAGCCGCATTGGCCTCGTCTTCCGCAGTATCCATCATCTCGTCAGAATCGGCGGTCTCTTCGGCTGCTGCAACCTTCTCCTCCGCTGCGATCTCCGCGCTGGATTCTGGAAGCTCCTCTTCGTCATCGTTGGCGCCCTCTTTCTCGTCCTTCGCCGTCTCCTCAAAATACTTTCGGTCAGCCTCGCTCTCAACGACGACTTCTTTGTCTTGCTTGGCGATCTGTGCCAGCTCTTCTTTGTTGTGCTCATCGTCTCCTGCCGCGGTCTCCTCAGCCGCCAGCGCCACAGTGCCGTCCTTGCTGGCATTCGCAGCAGGCTGGGGTTTGTCGGTCAGCACCAGGCCACAGCCAACGCTGAGCATCGACAGGACCGCAAGTACACGGAACATGGCCGGATATCACCCCAAGAGTCGAACTTCGTTGATGTAGGTGCTGCGGGCAACCCAGCTAAGCTTGGGCCAAAGGAACCAGCCACACCACAAAGAACTTGCCACCAGGCATGTCATGCTATCATTTCACCCTGAACTAGTACGTTTGCTTGGGACACTCAACATCATCATGCCCGCGCCTTTGTCCACGGCAGGCTTGGTCTCTCGCGAGGTCCTGTGACTTGCCTGTACATGGTCAGCGTCTTGAGCTCTAGCACCCATCGCGATAAAGGGGCTCATTTGCTCTTCTTGGGTGCATCCTTCGGCACAGCAGGTGCAGACTTTGGCTTGGGGGGCTCAGCCTCATCGCCCATATCAGCCGCATTGGCCTCGTCTTCCGCAGTATCCATCATCTCGTCAGAATCGGCGGTCTCTTCGGCTGCTGCAACCTTCTCCTCCGCTGCGATCTCCGCGCTGGATTCTGGAAGCTCCTCTTCGTCATCGTTGGCGCCCTCTTTCTCGTCCTTCGCCGTCTCCTCAAAATACTTTCGGTCAGCCTCGCTCTCAACGACGACTTCTTTGTCTTGCTTGGCGATCTGTGCCAGCTCTTCTTTGTTGTGTTCATCGTCTCCTGCCGCGGTCTCCTCAGCCGCCAGCGCCACAGTGCCGTCCTTGCTGGCATTCGCAGTAGGCTGGGTTTTGTCGGTCAGCACCAGGCCACAGCCAACGCTGAGCATCGACAGGACCGCAAGTACACGGAACATGGCCGGATATCACGCCAAAAGTCGAACTTCGTTGATGTAGGTGCTGCGGGCAACCCAGCTCAGCTTGGGCCAAAGGAACCAGCCACACAACAAAGAATTGGCCACGGGGCATGTCATGCGATCATTTCACCCTGAACTAATACGTTTGCCTGGGTCACTCAACATCGTCATGCCCGCGCCTTTGTCCACGGCAGGCTTGGTCTCTCGCGAGGTCCTGTGACTTGCCTGTACATGGTCAGCGTCTTGAGCTCTAGCACCCATCGCGATAAAGGGGCTCATTTGCTCTTGTTGGGTGCATCCTTCGGCACAGCAGGTGCGGACTTTGGCTTGGGGGGCTCAGCCTCATCGCCCATATCAGCCGCATTGGCCTCGTCTTCCGCGGTATCCATCATCTCGTCAGAATCGGCGGTCTCTTCGGCTGCTGCAACCTTCTCCTCCGCTGCGGTCTCCACGGTGGGTTCTGGATTCTCCTCGTCGTTGGCACCCTCCTGCTCGTCCTTCAGCGTTTCTTGGAGCTGCTTCTCGTCGGCCTCGCTGAGAGTGTTGCCCTCTTTGTCCTGTTGGGCGATCTGTGCCAGCTCTTCCTTGTTGTTCTCATCGTCTCCTGCTTCTGTCGCCTCAGCCGCCAGCGCCACCGTGTCGTCCTTGCTGGCGTTCACGGCGGGTTGGGTTTTGTCGGTCAGCACCAGGCCACAGCCAACGCTGAGCATCGACAGGACCGCAAGTACACGGAACATGGCCGGATCTCACTCAAAGAGTCGAACTTCGTTGATGTAGGTGCTGCGGACAGCTGCGGGCTAGGTTTGAACCGAAGGCACGGGAATCGCGACCGTCTTGCCTCATTAGCGAAACTCCCCCTCTGATGTCGGCTCCTCGACGCACAGGATGCAGTTCAGCGAAACTGCTTGCATCTCTCCAATTCCATCGAAGGGGAATTGAGTAAGAGCACTGTTTTGCACCTCCTTGCTCAACACCAGCTTCCGGTCTGGAGGCCCAATTGGATCATGCTTGGTGACTGCTTGGTGCCGAGCCTCCAACGAGAGTGGTTCCAACCTTGCTTCGGCTTCGGAAGTTGCCGGTGTCCGAAGCTTCCCGACTCATCTTCGCACATCACGAAGGCTGGCTGGACCTTAGTGTAAGGGGCGGCAGTGAGCAGCTGGCGCCGCTGTCCACCGGAGGTGGGGCAGCAAAACTCCACAGCTTTGCTTCGGTGCCATTCGACGGTGTCTCAGGAAGGGAAGCTTGGTAAAGGATGATGATCTACGACCTACGATGATTCTGCTATCTCAGCAGTGTTAGTCCAGCGCATGCTGCAAAGTGGTGCAACAGCCCCGCAGGAACTGAAGCCCCCGACGAGCGGAAGTGCTTGTCGTTGCCGCAGTTAAAGTACCTGCGATGGCAAGATCGACTAAGAGAATGCCATATTCTGCTCCTGGGCGGTTTCTTGGCGGCTCACGAGTTGGTAAACTCCATGAAAGCAGTCCAAGCTGCCACGACCGACGCCGACACCTTGAGAGCTGCAAACCTACATCTGCAGAGATTGGCCGCAGCTGCTCTTGATCAGGGCCGCTTCGACAGTAGCTCCGTTTCGAGGAATACAAAAGAGGCCGGCCAAGTGAGATCCGAGGCCGCAGCTCCTTGCTGCGCCACTTCTGGCGCCGGCATCGCCGAGGCCGAGGAGGCCGCCGAGGCCTTCGAGGCTCTCAAAACGCATCCTGTCGGATGCTGTCGCCCTACAACGGCAGTGCATGTGGGTTCCCAGTCCCCGGCAGCGGCGGCATGCGGTGCGAACATCGCGGAACGAGCTGCGATGATCGTTTCCTGCTGGTCCATAAATGCTAGCTCATGCAACGCACATGTGCTGCTGCGCTGCTGTGTGCCTCTGCAAGGACCCGTGTTAGCCCAAAGCACCTGCTCCCTGCGAAACTCTGTATCGTCACGACTGTCCTTGGCCTGGTCAAAGAGTTCTTGTCTTTGCTCCTCACACATGCAGAACGTAACAACCACATTAGATTCTGACATTTAACACTTGCCACCGAGAGCAAGCACTCGCGATTCGGAGGGTCCGGAAAGATGTGGAACTGCTGATCCTCGGCATGTAGAGGAGCATGTGAGACTTGAATTGCAGACATGGTGTTTGGACCTTGAGCGGCGGGCCATGACATGACGCACCTCGTCGCCGGTAACGGGAAACATGGCCGCCGCCTTGAGACATCGGTATTCCGCAAACACGATACAGGTGCCCTAATAAGCAGAACAGGGTTTTGGAGCACAAAAAGGATACACATTTCATCAGGAACCCGTAGGAATATTCAGGGTAATTCCCTATATTCCCCATACTGTACAGTACGTACATGGACGGCTCGCTGGACTTGTGTTTGCCCAGCCACCGCCGGGGACATCTTTGCCAGGGCCAGCGCAGCCAGGGCTTCCGGCATTGCCTCAGCCAGCGCAGCCGGGACGAGAGTGTGTAATTGTGGGGGCCTATGGGGGTCTTAATCGGAAAAGTGCTTGGGGGTATGTTGTACTCTAAAGTAGGGACTAGAAAGGAATATGATGACCAACTGTTCTGACCTCTTTAGTCTGTTTCAAGCTGACAGTGCGAGCGTTGACCTGTGAACTGTCGGCCAAACTCCCCGAGCCTCAGCATCACCTTTGCCAGATGAGCAACTGATACTCATGCGAGTCCGCAGAACATGGTCGAAGCCGTGAGCTGACTGTCTTCAGCTCCAGAAATTCACACGAAGTTCACCGTGTCACATGATGATCCAGGGTTCAACAGAAGCTGGAGGAAGCTCTCGGTCACCGAAAGTTCAGGGTTCACCCGCTGCCCCCTGATGAAGCTCGTTAGGGCAGCAATAAACAGAGAGCCCGGTACTCTAAAGACGGAGACAGCTAAACCAAAACCCTGAAAGTCAAAACATCCAAAGCCCTAAACTCCCTAAACGGCAAAGCAACAGGCAATTGGGCAATTTTGGCTCAGGTCCCCGCGGCTTGCGCAAGGAATCGGGAGGGACGACTTCACGGAAGGCTCCAAGCTCCAGTACGACTCAGTATGACCCAGTCTGGGAACTCTGAGCCGTGGCTGTGGCTGTGATGTGTCGGGAACTTGAAGTAGCATGTCTGCTCCTGTGCCTGCACAGCTGCAGAAAGCCAAGGTGAGACCTACACACCACCACGGTACAATTGGAGATCAGGCTTGAATGGCAAATGCGCACATGCAGAGCACACATAGCTGCGGCCCCTATGCGACGTCCACTCCGTGCTGTTTACAGCGTACAGCTCATCCCTTACATGCACATTCGTGAGTCAAAGTGTACAAACCTGCCGGCATGAAGTTCGGCAGAAGCATGGTCGGCCCTCGCTGCGAAAGAGTAGCCTTGCTGAAAGCTTTCATTCGAGTATCATGGTCAGAAGTACAATGAGATGCACGGCTCCCGGCTGAAACAAACATCCCGACAACTCCGAATGTCTTTTGCCACTTCTGCCTAGGCCAGTGGTCGGCTTGCACCACCTGAAGGTGAAGATGTCGGATTTGTACCGTCTTCGTGTTCACGGAGATCTGCGCCGTCGGAACGCACTTCGGCGACTTCGTGGCGGACTTCGTGGGGTGAGACGACGATGCGAGACTCAGCAATGGCAGCGCCTTTGGGCGTGACCTCGCCTTGGGGCTTTGCAACGGCCGGCGGTGCCTCAGCTGAGCTTTGCCTGGACCTGTGCTGCCTAGGCTTCCCGGCTTCCCGCTTTGAGCTGAGGATCGTCTTCCGGAGGGGTTGTGATCTTGATCTCGCTTGCATCCACCTCCACAGTCTGCTTTGTGTGCATCGAAAGGATGAGGGGCGAGAGTGCCTCCATGCGATCCTGGGAAGCCGGCTCAGGGCTTACTTAGCATTTAGGGTTTCGGGGTAGGGGTCTAGGATTTGGTTTAGTTTACGGCTTAGGATGATAGGGATCAGGCTTCCAAATGTGGTGAGGAGGGAAAAAAGTTTGGCTGACAGTCCCAGCATCCTCGTTGACTGCCCGCTCCTCCGCCGTGAAACGAGATCGCCAGTACCGACTCTGCAAAAAAGTTGAAATCATCACATCTGTGCCAGCTACGGCCGTCAACGTTTTGCGAGCAAAATAGTTCAACGTTGAAAAAAGCAGCATACTCAAGGGGTTCCGGCCCTGCAGAAACTCGTTGCCAAGGGTGTCCCTCATGAACGCGGCCATGGACATGCCAATGGCGATAAGGCAAGGGCCGCGCAGGCCATACTCAATCCAGACCTGCTTCAGGGCAGAACATCCGGTAGGTTCGTTGCTGCACATGTTTGGCTCCATTCACACATCATCGGACAAGATCATGGAGTCACTATGCATCAAACTCCAAGGCACTCTTCGATAGAACTTCCAGCGACCTTCTGTCCCGGGCTTGATCTTCAGGCTTAAGGCCCCCGTCAAAGCAGGCAGCAATATCCAGAAGATGAAGCCTCAAAGATCCGGAACGGTCACGCAGCGACTCATGTGAAGGCGACATACTGCTAGGATAAGTAATGGCTGCCGAAGAGACTGAGGCAGCTCACTGCCAGGAGGATGTTCCCCATAAGTTGCTGGATCACAGCCCTCAGAGGCGACAAGTAGTCCCGGAATCTCCCGGACATACCGTGACTGCGATACTTTGCATGCAGAATGCTCGCTGCAACCTCCATACACACTCCCTGCGTCCCAACGACCAACGGAAGAACCCACACCCGAAAGCCCCGAAGAAGGATCCGAGCCGCAAGAAGGCGGTGTAGATAGGGACCGACTCGAATGCCGTCAGAATCAGCACCCAAGGGACCTTTCATGGAACCGTAAACCCTTAAACCCGAAACTACCTACACCCGAAACCCCTTTAGCCCTAAGAAGCTCTTCTCTCCGGCCTCCTGGTGCCCGGGGAAGAGGGCCTTCAAGTTGTATAGCGACTCGGCGAGTCCGCCGAGCACACTGAGTGCTGAGGGGATCAGCAAGGCTCCGGCCTCTCACGGAGGAATTTTGGGATTGTGGCCTTTTCAGGGCCCTTGGCGGATTTGGGGTCGTTTACGGATTTCCTCAAGGATGGGAGAACCTGTATCACTCCTTGCGGAGTTTGGGGCTTTGGGGCTTTTCGTGATTTTGGCCCACTGCCTCGATCCCAACGAAGATGCCTGCCGTGCAGGGACTTTGGGGCCTGTAGTTCCTTTAAACCTGCAACCGAACTGAGGTGCCGCCCTTGCTTTGTACACGTCTATGACGAGTCTATGACGTTCAGATGCTCAACTATGGCGTTTTGATGCGTTTTGATCAGGTCAAGTCCATGCAAGCCCCAGATAAGTCCACGCACAACTTCTGAGCATTCCTCGTTGATCAAATGCCACTGGCTGGCAACATCATGGGTTGTTCCTCCAGCCAGCTCCTGATGAAACACCTCATGTAGCTAGCTGGATGGGTGTAGGTTGGTCGGTCTGCAGAACCGTCACTGCAAAAACCCCGCCAGCGCCAACCTCTTCAAACGTGCTTAATGTTATCGGAGTGTGAACCGCCAAATGACATGGACTTGCACATGTGCATGCATGCTGTGAGCTGTGACTGCGTATTCCCATCGAGATGCCAGCGATAAAGTCCACGTTGTTCACGGCGAGAGTAGCAAAATCGCATTGATCTTGGGATCTGGACGATTGCTGGTCCGCCATCGTATTAAAGATTTGAAGCTGCTGTAGCACCAAATCAGTACACTCGCTTGGAATGCCCGAGCCCATTGAGTCCAGCAGGCTTGTGGCATTGAAGTCTGAGGCGCTTTGCTGGGAATCCTGAAACTCTTCGCACTCGGTTTCCATAGACTGAGTAAAGGATACAGCCACTGCCCTTGGGGAGCTCTTGGCATATTCCAAGCAACGTGTTTGACAGGTCGTCTGGTCTGCAACAGGAGCTCCAAGGCAAACTTCTTCTCTGCAGCGCTGGTCGGCCCCAAAGACGCAGTGCATGACTCTCTCGCAAAAGATCGACTGCCAGTCCGTGCCCTGCTCTTGACACCACGTCCGCACAGGAACGTCGTTCATTCTCACATCCTTGCAGGGACAGCTGTCTCTCGTCCCTGCTTCTCGCAATTCTTCCTTCACGCGTCACAGGCCCTACAAGTAGCAAGCGAAGCATCCCAAAACCTGGCCCCTCCCGACCCCAAGCGTGCGGAAGCTAGAACGGAAGGCCTGGGAAAGCTGCTCTTGCACAGCAGCTTGTAGGGACTGCAGCCCGGAAAGTCCACTGGCACCCGGCTGCAAGCTGCCCAGCGCTGAACTCATGTCGATTCCCGGAGATGTCAGTGCACGGGTCACCACGACAACACATAGATCCTCTCGTACGCCGTTCCAGTCGATGGCTTCGCGAAGCGGATAGACCAACAGGACCGTGAAAGGCAGCACAAAGTTCAAGAGCCAAGATGACCACACCAGCCATCGTGAAAGTCTTGCATATTGGACGGCGAATGGTGGAGCCGCAGTGGCCAGGCCAACCAGAACCAGAAAGAAGGATGTGCACCAAACGTACTTGAGAAACGGATCCCACCAAGACAGCATTACGACAAAAGTCTCGAAACGTTTGGGTTGAATCTCACGCGGCAGTTGTGCAATGATGTCATCATAGCGCCTGTCGGCGGTCAAGCGTCAAGCATGAAACGCAAGAACAAGTCCAGCCCCGCCCACGCACGATCCGGCCTGTTCGGGATCCATTCCGTGTAGCTGGCAGCACCCCACACTACCGCGAAGAGAACGTGGCAGATCAGGTAGCTGAATCTCCTCACAAAGCAACACAAAGCTTCAGATTGACAAACAAAGTCTCATTGCGATGACATTCCGTCGGCTCGTCACAAACCTACGACATTGACCCAGAGGCGCAACCAATCGAAAGCACACCTACGTTACATACACACGTTCTGTACATATATGTAGATGCACACACCCGCCATACTGCAGAGCAAGCACCAACATACTCGTTACTCGTGCGGACCACTTTGAATGACATGTTGCGGATCCTATCTGGCCACGGTGCTCTCTCTTTTGATTGCATGCGTACAGCATTTTGAAGCTATTTCGTGTGCAGACTGCGAAATTGGACGTATGGGTAAATGACGTGGTCGACATGCTCGCAGATCGCAGACTGTACGACGTTTTGGGCATACTGCACAATGCAGGATGGAACCTTTTCTGAAACTCAAGATGTCGACCCACACCCAAAATGTCACGAATCCTAATCTCATGCCGAGGCCACCACCTTATGCAACAACGAATCTATTGCAGCCGGCGTGCCACGTCATGTAGGTGGCTCCATCCTGAGACGAGCTAAAATTCAACAACGGGTGTCAACATGCAGCGTGGATGATGGAGGATGCATACACATGCATACATCATGTGTGCACACATGCCCAACTTTCCAGTATTCATACACAGTTCGCCGGATGTACTCTCTTTTTTTCACATGGTGGCGGGGCAAAATACGATGGGCTCTACAAGAACCGGTGTCGAAGCTGAGCAGCTTCCGAGATCCCATTGCTCTCCGCTACCTGGCAGTTTCAGACAGGACGGGAGCCAAATACTGACCCCGACTTGCAGGACAAGTGCTTATTACTATAGGGGCCTAAATAATTACCAATACTATTTTTCGGGGGCTCCTTATGATAACTTTATTATAGTGACTTTTCAAGGTAGCCCGGCTTTAGAGAAGCCCCACCTTCCGAAAGCGCGTGTAGATGGTGCCCGTGACCGCCTCTGCTGGGTCGTCCCAGAGGCCGTTGCGCAGGATGGCGTAGATGGCATGCAAGGCCCCAAGGCACATCGGCGCAGGCAGAGCAGAACTTTATAGGAATCTGGAAAACAAGGTGGCAGCTCTCAGAGACGGCCTCTACATGGCCAGCTGCTAGGTCTGAGCCTCAGGCGGCTTGAAGACTCAGGGAACTCCGTCGACGACATTCCTCAACCCAGGCCCTCGCAGAACGCTTGAAGAAGCGCCCTTGCACAAGCAGCCTTCACTTCCCTGGGGCCCCGGGTTGACGGTCGGTGACCTCTGGTGTGACGGATGGTGGCGAATCCCACGCGAAGATGAAAGGGGAAACTGTGAGGGCCGACAAACCTTCAACAAGGTCTTGGGAATGTTCCGTTACAAGGTCTACTTCCAGAATTCACGCAGCATGCAAGTAACGTGCAAGAACTAGTTGACTGAGCTTGGCCGGTGTGGGTGCTCTCGTCACTGTCCTCCTCTGTCTGCTTCGGGTGCGTAGGTTGTAGGCCTTAACCAGACTCGTCTGAAACTCTGAACTGCAGTGAAGTTGGCAGGAAGGAGCCTGCACAGCTTGCGCGGCGATTCTAGGTCCACCAGTGCAGGGATGTGGGGGTGTGGCTCCAATCGGTGGCGATTTTGTTTGGACTTGTGCCCTTTCTCTTGGTTGGTCATGCCCAGGTCATCATCGGGCGAACCAGCAGCCAAGCAAGAGTTGCCATCGATAAGCTGTACAAGCAACATTTTCAGGCAGCCGTGATTAGTGCGCTGAACTCATCGAATCCTGAAGTCGTTCGGAAGAGGTCTAGCATGATTGCTCTGTTCCATCTGCCCTTGCTCTTGACAACTCAGAGCAACACGGGAACGAAAGCTATCAGCATGAGCAATAAGCCGTCGAAGCGTACTCAGAACAAGCTGGGGAGTTGCCATGTGATGTTGTGCTTGGATGCTGCCGTATTATCCATGCTGCATGTATCATATCAACAATAAACAATACATACACATCCTTCAGTGCACCGGTCACGGCCTAAAGCTTTATCCCCATGTGTTTGGCTGTACAGTGAAGCCAGGCTGTGCAACCTGAGCTCGCAGCGACCACTTGCGAAACTAGCATGGCCATTAGATGCCTGTCGAACCCTTTGCTTCCGAATAAAACAAAAGAGAGACAGAGAGAGAGAGAGAGAGCGAGCGAGCGACAGAGATGGAGAGAGAGAGAGAGAGTGACTTCCTTCCTCCACCTCGTAAAACCACCTCCTACTACTCCTGCTAGTACTACTACTACGACTACTACTACTACTACTACTACTACTGCTACTGCTACTACTACTACTACTACTCCATAATACAGCAGAGGACAATACAATGTAGTATGATATGAGCTAATGTGACGTGACATGAAGCTCTTGTACGCTGTGATGTGGTATGGATGTTAGCAAAATGATGTGTACATATACATATATTATTATATTATATTATATTATATTATATTATATTATATTATATTATATTATATTATATTATATTATATTATATTATATTATATTATATTATATATTATATTATATTATATTATATTATATTATATTCTTATATATTATATTATAATAATTATATTATATTATATTTATATATATTGTTTATTATTTATATTATTTATATATATATTATATATTATATTATATTATTTAATTATATTATATTATACTATATTATATTACTATACTATACTATACTATACTTATAGTATAGTATATTATATTATATTATATTATATTATATTATATTATATTATATTATATTATATTATATTATATTATATTATATTATATTATATTATATTATATTATATGGGTATGTTTATATCCACCTACACGATATTATATGGGTATGTTTATATCCACCTACACGTATGTATGTTTTGCGATATACAAAGTGACACGGTATGACAAACCGTACTGAAACATGACACAACACTGAAGGCTAATACGAAGTGATACCACCCTTCGGTCCAAAACACCTAGTAAAGCCTCATCTAACTAAACCACGAGAACAAGCTGCGACGATTTAGTTTATAGCGTTTAGCTACTTTAAGGGTCCGGAATAAAAAAACTATGTACCACTATCCAAGTCGGCATTAACATGACCTAGCACAACACAGTAGATATAAGCCCTGCACTCGAAATACGAGCAACCTCCCACCTCATGAAAATAGGGCGGGTTGGGTGGGACAAAAAGATCCTTCGCGGATCGAGACGATCGTCTCGACCCAAAATGGCCACGGATCAACGTGGTGATCAAAAGTCAAAAGAGCATGCTGATCTCATGCTGTAGTGTGACCCTCCTATTCCAGACCTACCTAGCCGATAATAGGAGAACCACACTACACGCACGAACGCTCGCAAGCTCACTGAACAGCATGCCACACACCGAGCGGACGAGCAATGTTTAATCCGCTCTAGCATGGGGTTGAGCGGTCACAAGAAGAACTACCGAAGAGCATCAGAAACGACCGGCCCCCACCCCAGGACAACGACAACCCACGAACGGAGTCGTCGTCGTCGCAGTCGCTCGAACCCGCAACCGGCGAACCCGTCCCGGGACACCAGACGCGAGAGCATCTCGAACAAATTCCCTTCGTTCGAAATACGAGCAACCTCCCAGGCCCTGCATCGATCTTTTAGCGGAGCTTCGCTGGCCATGAGCACAAAACAGTCGACCACCCGGCAGCTTGGCCAATCTCGAGGCGATCCCTCGATGGCCAGTCTGCGGGGTTAGCATCTGTGGAAACTCGATCGATAAAGAAATTGACCCTATATTCAAGAGCCAATTCCCAGAAAACTTCAACGAGCTCACAGAGATCTTCCTTTGAAGAATATCCTTTCGCTAGAGCAGCCTCGACCGCCTCAGAGTCGATCAGAAGGAGAACGTCCTTATTCTTCACGTGATCCCGGAAAGTCTCGAGCGCCAGAATCGGCGCGATCATCTCGATCGGGACGATCTGGGTCTTCCTCGCGAGCCATCGGTCAGATACTTCGAGGGGGATCACCTCAGTGAACTGCTTGGGAGCATCGGCCCTCCGATCGAACATCACGGCTCCGATCCGATCGGCTCCTTCTTCCGACTTACGAAAGTCTGGAGTGAAGCCGTCTGTGAAGATCACAACGTCGGCGTTCTTCTCCGAGCGGAGTGATATCTCACGCGGAGGGCCATGAACAATGAGGTTCCGCCAGTAACGAAGCGATCGCTCCAGAGCCAGGTTGAGCTCCATACGATCGCTAGACCGGTCCTTCGAGTACTGGCGCTCCGAGAGGGGCCGGAAGAACGCACGTCCAACCTTCCCCCAGAGCTGGCTCGCTCCGAACAGGAGCTTGCCCTTGAGCTTCCCTGCGGTCCCAGGATCCAAGGTGCCCGCCTCCAAGATCGCGTCGATCGAGTCCAGGAGCTCCTGCTTCCTCTGCTCCTTGATCTCAAGAACTAGGAGCTCAAGGTTAAAAGTCACGCCCAAGATCACGGGCGCCGCCGAGAGCTGGAGCTTCTTCTCGTCAAAGAGAGCGTTGAGCCAGAAGTGGATGCACTCGGCCACGACCTTAGCCGATGGCGCTGTGAGATCGGTCTCGAACCCGTACTTGTCGTCGTAAAAGTTGAAGGCGACCATGCTGAACAGCTGGACGAGGATATCATTGATCAGAGCCGAGCGGCGATTATAATTGTATACCGCCGCCACGAGCCCGAAGGAGTGTCCGATCATCACAAAGAACTTGGGAATGCCGTCACCCGGATCCTTCAGGCAGATTACACTGAACTTCCTGTGCTCCGGCGAGATCGGAAGCTGCCGATAGGCCTTCCGCTCGTCGAGGACCCATCCTCTTAGCGGGCGATCACCTCCTCTGGTGCGGAGCTCGCGCAGAACTGCCACATTCAAGTCCGTAGAGGTGAGCTCCAACTTCTCGGTGATCACCGCGGTCTGGTTGATCAAGTTGGAGGTCGCACTGTCGCAGCCTCTGACCTTGTTCTTCTGAACCACTTCGAAGCGTTGTGTCGGGATCCAGTCGGAACACTCCAAGAACTTGGAGACTTCCTCTTCGGATCCGAACGGACCCAGCGTGGAGCCTTCCTTGGCGTCCTCGAGCGTGGCATTCCAAAGAGACCTTAGATTGTCCGAAACAGGAACCGACCTGCATCTGCGAAAGACCTTGGCTCGCAACTCCCAGGCCCGATCCAGAGCTTCCTGCACAGGCACTGACCGCTGTGGCTTTGTGAACGGCGGCCAGCGCCCCGATCGCTGGATTTGGCCAACGATCGGGAAGCCACTGCGAATACCTTGGAGAATTTGATGATCCGTGCAGCCAATCGCCGCGAAGAGCTCGTCGTAGAGCGCCACGTGAGTGCAAGAGCCCAGCTGCAGATCAGCATAATCCGGAGCACCGCGAAGAAGCCGACGAAGAGGAGCGTCGGCGATCAACCGCAAAATCCGATCGGTCTCTGGAAGCAGCGTGAGCGCACGCTGCTGCCAGAACTGAAGGCGCTCAGAACGGCGAGCCACGAGCGCCTGCGGGGAGGATACAATGAACTTGATGTTGTCGACTCTCGACGATCTTGTCTCGGAGCGCCGGCTGCACGGTGAATGGGTGCCGAACCTGAAGAGACCACTGGATTGCTTGACCGGGCTCACACTCAACGTCGAGCAGCGGCTTGGCGGCACCACGTTTGAGCTGATAGCCGCTAGCCGCCGCCAGCCGAGCGGCAGCGGATTGGCGATGGCCTTTCCAAGCAATCTGGGATCCCAAAGATCGCTTGCGTTCTGCCGACGGAGCCGTGAGAGCAAAGGAAGCGGCGAACTGCTGGGCCGACTTCTGCACGATTGCGGCCACGGCGATCGCCCACGCGGTGCAAAGCGCCGGGGGGTAGACCTGAGCTGCCTTAGTCTTGAAGATCTTCTTGCCAGTCTCCGACCTTGTCACGCCACGAAGAGGCTCATGAACATGTCCACCTGAACAAGGACGTGCAAGAGCAAGAAGAGCAGCGTGACTGACTAGAAGCCGAGTAGGCTTCCGGTGAGGTGAACCGTACTCGCACTGATCAAGATCGACGTTGTAGAGGTGAAGACGAGCTTTGAGCTGCTGAACCTGAGGGACCTGCCAGATCAGACTGTCCTTCGGGTTCTCGATCGAGGCATCCCCACCAGCTTGAACCACAGCGTCGAAAAGAAGAAGAGATCGAAACAAGAGCTCATTGGCCTCGAAGAGCTGTGCCTGGTGGTGCTTCTTGAGAACGTAGAGGCCAAGGGGCAGCGCCTGCGATCGCAGGGGGGGAGGTCCTCCAGGCCGATCCCTAGCCACGCTGAACGTGGCGCAGGGAATGCCCAAGTGCAGAAAGACGATCGCCCCCATGCGGCACAGCAAGAGCAGCCAATCAAAGACCTGTGCGTCCAGCAAGTCGATCGACTCCAGAAGGAGCTCGGAGGTGCACTTGTCGATCGGCGGCAAAGTCTTAAGACCGTGACGTTTCCAGGCAGCGGTGAGGCCAGCAGACCCGGCAAAGATCTCGAGGCACCAGGGACCGAGCTCACGAATTGTGTCGGGATCCCGGGGCACCTCCGCCCAAAGAACCCACGGCGGCGGCCGACCTGCAGGGGCAGCTGTCAGTCTCTGAGAAGAAACCTCATTAGCAGCCAGAGCCGGCGGCTGGTGCAGTGGGGGGGGAGAGAACTCCCTTGGTGGTCTGTCGAGCACCAGTGCCGGAGGGAGACGACCAAACTCCCCCGGCGGTGGCGCAGGAGCTCAGTGATTGCCATGGTAGGGGTGATCACCCCCCCACTGCACGCAGATATGCTTGTTCTTGCATTGATCACCGAACCGACAGCCGAGCGAGCAGTTGAACCATGGGCAGCGGCGACCACCAGTGTAAGAGAAGGACATGATCTTCTTCCACTCCTTCTCCGGAACCCGGGTGTCGCGATCGACCTTGTCCTTCTCTGTGAGCTTAGGCACTGAAGGCTTGTTCGGCTTGGCGTGGTCACGAGCGCGATCGCGCTCTGCACGAGCTTGCTTGAGCAACTCCTTTTCCTTCTGCCGACGAGCGCGATTCTTGCGAGTCTTGGCCTCGTTCTTCGGAGGTGTCGGCGGAGGGGACCTCGAGCGAGGCCGCTTCGGAGGAGTAGCGAACTCGTGCTCGACCTGGCGGAACTTTTCAAGTTCAGCTGTGGAGCGAGCGTCGTTCCAGAGCTGCTTGTAGTTCTTGAGAACGTCGCAGAGGGCCTCAGAGAACGTCGGGAAGTCCTTGCGCTTGTCGTTGTTGAGCTTGTAGCGCCACTCCTCAAGTTCCGAGAGGTACTTGAGGGGACCGGAGTCAAAGGTGAACTCGCAGATGTTGAGGTACTCGAGCGCCACAAAGAACGAGTGGAGGCGATCCATGACCTCTGTCTCTGAGGCGACCGCCACCTTGTTGTCGAGCTGGACCACCTTAAGGAGATCCTCTGAAGTCTTTGAGAAACCAGGTGTTTGCACCATGCGGTCCGAGCGGGAGCGCATTTCAGCGACTTCGTAGAACGCGACCGCCCCATGGACCATATAGTCCCGGTGGATCCTCTCGACGAACTTCCGGTGCGGCTCGCGCATATAGGTGAGGATGATGTCGGGGTGCTGAGTGACAAAGAGCTCACGAAACTCAGCATGATCTTCTCCAGGAATCTCTGGGATTTTGGACGGATCCTCCTCCATCTTGGCCCGTCGAGAGGCGACGTGTTCTTGCAGAACTGAGGCTGACTTCCAGATCGCGGTCAGGAGCGTGAGCGAGAGCTCCTGTGCCGGACCATCGGCCCCGAACTGGGTGTCGTCACCAACGATAGCACGGAGCGTTGCCTTCACCGACGCGATGGAGTCCCCGAGCATGGACATACGCTCGACGGAGAGCATTCCTTTATCCGCCATGAGAAGGCATAGGTTTTCGGGGAGCTTCTGCCGTCCGAAGATCTGGCGCAAGGCGAGCTCGGGGGTCTTGTCCTTGTCCGGGTAGACCGTGCGGTCGACCATGGCAGAACAACACGAGAGAGCCTCAATCAATGCTTGAGCAAGCTTCAACAGAGTTTCCCAAATGCGAAAAAGGCGAGAGCCGGCACAGCACTGCTCAGGATTTTAGACCTTAAAGGCGAGAGCCACATCCGGCCGAGCCTTAGCGCACAGTTTGCAAAAGAGCTTAGGGTCAGGCAGAACGGACCCGATGTGTGTAAATTCGGGCGTGATCGCGCGTTTGCATGCGATCTCTTCCACAGAGTCTGCAGAACACACATGAAAACGATAATCATAACTAGAGCCTTTGACTGGGACCTTGACAAGAACTCAGTCAATGAAAGATCCCTGTCCTCTGCGTCCTCGATCGTGTCATCCTCTTGAGCACAGAGGGGCACGAACTCGCGCGAGACCTCCTGTACCAACTCCTTGATCATTTTAGCTGGAAGAGAGGACCTCGAGCGCGTGTACTTCAGAACGAGCGGGCCGGGGTTCTTCCAGTTCGCCTGAACCCCGATCTCATGCTCCGATCGTTCACAATGGACAGCCAGATCAAGCATAGTTACTCGAGCTGAATGCCACGTAAGATCGGTGACTTTGTCCAGGAACTCCCTCGCGACCCCACTCTCCTGCCCCGCGAGCCAGACCAGGTGGTGGAGCCACTGAAGAGAGCGAGCGTAATCAGGGGGAGTATGGCGCCAACGCTCCTTCGTGTCGAGCTCGGGGATCCAGAAGTCGCGTTCCACGAGCGGGAATTGCGACTCGAACAAGTCATTCCCGATCTTGAACCAAGCCACTTTAGAAAATGCAACGTCTGGAACCATGAACTTGGTGCCGCGCCGCTTCCTCTCGGTCTTGGTCTGCCAGGAGATCCCGAACAGACCGTCCGGCTTGACCTCTAGCTCGTGAGGCTTCACGTGGATCGCGTCGTCAAAGCGGAGCGACGCAAAGATCATGCAGAGGACCCAGGGTGAGCTTCGTTGGCGACAAAAAGCGCTCCATCGCCTGGACCAGCTCAAGCGGGAAAGCGATCGCTTCAATCAGCGGTCGCCCTCGCTGTGTGAAGATCTCCTTCTCAAGCGCCTTTAGCTCCGCTGTCTCGATCGAAGGAAGCTTGAGGTTGATCCGAAAGGCCACCCATTTCAGAGCCATGCGGAGCGAAGGAAGAACAGTCGGGCCGCACTCCCTCGAGTCGAGCTCCATGGCGTACTTCAGGATCTTGTCGTCCGAGATGGGGTAGAGGGGGAGCGGCACGTGCCGAGCCCACAATTCGAACTTCTCGAACCTACGAATGTGGTTTGCCATGGTAGAAGGCGCCCCCGAGGTGAAAACCAACAGCCGAAGGCGAGCGCGTTCCTCTTCCGAAAGGATCCCCTCAGCATCGTGGACCCCTTCGGGCCGAGCATGTTCGCCGGCCCGATCGGCGATCGCCTTCAAGCGCTTAGCCCATTTCTGTTTCTCGGCGTTCTCCAAGTCGAGCAATGGAGTTGCCGAGGGAGAAGAAGAGCTTGCCGGCAGCCTCGATTTAGCCGAAGGAGCCAGAACTGGTGCAGCTAGAGCTCGGATGGCCATCTCCCGCTGAAAGTGTGCGATCGACTTTGCAGAACGTTCTCTAGGCACCTTAGAGCAGCGAGCAAAGCCCATCTGGTAGCCGAGAGACTCGACAAAGAGCGATTCCGCCGCCTTCACGAAGACCCAGTACTGTTCGAGCATTTGGGTCCTCGGAGCCAGGAGGTCGTGCTCCGTCTTGGCCGAGCTGGCCGTCCAGTCGAGAGACACCGCGGCGAACTGCTCAGGCGTCCCGGCGTCCATTGAAAGAACAAAAGGGATCTCCGCCAGCCGGGTCGCCACGATCGCCTGGCGAAACCCATGGTCGAAACATGGGTAAGCAAGGATCTTCGCTGTCCAGCGATCGGCTGGCGCTGCTTCCCGCAACATCCTGCCGAGCCAAAACTAGCGAAAGAAGAAAATCAAGAAAGGCATCATGAGCATCGTCGTTGCAGTGCCCCGACCAACCTTCCCGGCCAACCGAACGGCACGACGAACGACGAACGACATGACTGCCGAGCACTGTGAACATGTTGCACTGAGAAAGGAAGGAGAGAGAGAGAGAGAGAGAGAGAGAGAGAGAGAGAGAGAGAGAGAGAGAGAGAGAGAGAGAGAGAGAGAGAGAGAGAGAGAGAGAGAGAGAAACATCAACAGTGAAAACATGTGCAGAACTGCTGACCGGCATCCGGCTGCATCTCTGAAATCTTTTGCCCGAGCGGGAGCAGTCGTGGCTCCAAAATGCGAGCGAGAACTTAAATCGCCTTCACGGCATCCTGGGGTGAACACCCTTGGATCAAAACGGGTGAGCACCTCTGAGATCGGCCTCGATCATGGCGTGCGGTGCGGCCTGAACGAGGTCGGCTCTCCTGCTGGAGCCAGCAAGTTCTCCGGCTCGGCCTCTTCGACCACGACCGTGGAAGACTGAGCTGCCGCCGAAGAGGTAGCGTGACCAACAGGGTTGTGGTACGAGTCAGCCAGCTCGGCGAACTGCGCCGGTGTGAGCTTTGCCGTCGAGCGGGCAAAGGAACGATCTTGCCGAGCATCGTCCCTGGCAGCATCGATCATGTGCCCACGGGTGCCCTCCTCATCGTTCTGATCGTAGTCCACCGGCTGAGCAGGTGGTCGATCTTCGGGGGCGAGCGCCCGGGATTCCATCTCCGCCCGATTGCGATTGCGAACGGCAATCTGCGAAGTCTCCGGCACGGCAGTGTCAGAGCTGACCGCCGCCTGCCGCCAAGCCCCTTGAGAAAGAGCGGGCGGGCCGAACGGCAGCGGAGAAGCCGACTCCTGGGTGTGGGTCATCTCGGCGAGCGCCGCCCTTGAGACCACAGCCCCCTGCATCACGTAGAGCTTGCTCTCACACTGAACGTGGAAGTTGCCATGATCAAGGCCGCCCACGAACGAGACCAGCACGCCGATATGGGCATAGTCCGTGGTGAGAGCATTGTGCCACCAGTTTTGGTGAGCGGCCGCCAGCTGAGCGAACTGCTCAGTCTGCTCAGGCCCCTCCACCCGTGCCCGCTGATCACGGCACCGGGTGATGGCCTGAATGAGCGTAGGCCCGCTGATGTGGGAGACCGTCAACCACGTAGACGGGACCGAAATGCGAGCGCACTTCAAGTCCATGCGATTGTTGGCATCCCGATAGCGGAACTCCAGCCGATCGGCGTCATTTCCGACCGCATCCTCTGAAGAGCGGCTGCACACTCGGAGCTCGAACCTCGAGCGGGCATGATCTCCAGCCACGACCACGCCCTGAGGGCCCACAGAGTAGGTGCGACCGCCACACTCGAAAGAGAAGACGGAGCACTTCCAGCCGGTGAAAGCGGCCACCACGACCGAGAGCCGCACCCGACCACGGCAGACGTCGCGGATCAGCAGCTCGTCAGCGAACTGCTGCTGAACCGACAGATCCGAGTCGGCACGGTATCCCCTCAGGATCCAGTGAAAGAGGATCTCATTGCCATTGTACACCTTGATATCGGTGTACGATGGCGACGTGTCCCTGAGCACCGGCCACGAGAAGGGCTGAAAAGCCTCGTGGGCGAGCGCCTTGGCGGTCTGAGCAGACCAGTCTCCACAGGGAACCCCTGTCGTGGAGTCCACTGAGATCGCCAGTGTCGCTTTTATGCCATCCAGAGTGTAGTTGGCAAAGAGCGACATGTGGTACCCAGAACTGGGTGTCATGACTTGATCTCTCTCCGTCAAGACGTTCGTCGAGGAGGAGGCGTTCGTCATAATCTCCTGGACCAGCCATGCCTGAAAAGGCGAGACGATCCTCTCATCTCTGGTGTCGACCATGATGATCGAGGTCTTGCGATCGTCATCGTCACAGGTAGCGATCGACTCAATGTGCTGGGGCAGACGAACCTCATAAGGGTTATGAGCAGCATTCGGAAAACGATCACCACCACGATCACGGCGGTGGCGTCTCTCCCTGCGATCCTGCTGGGTCTGACCAGCCCACTGGCCCCTCGGTTGATTAGGGTAACCAGCATAGGGCTGAGGCTGATCAGCCTGCTGCTGACCCCAGGCGTCTTGACCCCAACCAGCCATAGCTCGAGCGAAAGCTACCCAGGCCCTAGACCTCACCTGATCGACAAAAAGATCCTTCGCGGATCGAGACGATCGTCTCGACCCAAAATGGCCACGGATCAACGTGGTGATCAAAAGTCAAAAGAGCATGCTGATCTCATGCTGTAGTGTGACCCTCCTATTCCAGACCTACCTAGCCGATAATAGGAGAACTGCACTCCATTACAAGAATATGCTTAACTCAATCCAGCGCAACATAACATACCACAATATTATGTAATGGTATAACTCCTGATGTGATGGAAAGCTGTACAGTTTGGCAACATACGACATTTAAGTTGGACTGTCACATGCATAACACATAACTGATAACAAATATGCGCACATGCATACCAACATGAAAAAACGTCAAACAAACAACTTAAACAACCACAGGAAATATTCAAAACAGTATATATATATATATACACACACACACACACGTGACATCACGTGACATCGTAGAGTGCGCCTTAGCATGGACCATGTAATACATGTTGTATACACGCCTTCTCTCTGTCTAAAGGTATGTGTATATGTATATACATATATATATATACACATACACGTACATGTATACACATCTTTATGTACATAAAGTGCGCATATACACGTGTAAAGATGAACTATGCATTATGCAAGATTTAGCAATGACGCATACATAACAAATAACCCACAATCTTACACATATGCAATGTGTGTGTGTGTGTAAAAACTCACATCCTCTATCAAAACATTATATAAACATGCACCATAATCTAACATGTAAGTCTCCTAATATGAGCCGTAATTATAGTTATCCTACATATTTACCCTACCTGCAACTACCCATGTAATGTAAGTAACTCGTCGGTGCGAAATACCTAAGTACGAGAAACAGTGGATCTCGGCCCTTTGCTCGAGCCGGATTCCCTTCGGAGGTCTGAAGATCTGAAGCCGCCTGGAAGTAAAGGCTATTGTTAAATTCCTAGGTTGCGAGAATACCCTGACAAGTCAAGTTGAAGATCCTTGGAGTTTTGGGCACTTGGAGTTCAGTGTTTGATGTGGCCCGGTGGTCGCTGGCGGCCTGAATCTTAGAGGGTGGCTTGTGGGGGAGCAGCCCGAAAAATGGCAGCACTTGCGATGAATTCATGCAATGCCAGCAGGGTTCTGCACAGGGCACCTGCACCTATGACTGGCATTGTGGCCACGCGCCAACAGATCCCCCATCCGCAAAACAAGAGACCAAGCCTTGTGAAATCTGACGCAAGAGGCTTTGGGACAGGACAGGCGCGAGTACAAATGGAAAACACCCGCTGACATGTGGCTGTTCAGCAATGCCACTGGCTGAAAATTTTAGGTGGTGTAGGCTTATCACGGATGAGGAAGTCTTTTGTATATATCCTGACATTGCCGAACCACCATGTTCGGGCATGTGTACATCATGCAGCACCGCATTGAAAGAGCTGGGAGTGCCGACGCCTCACAGGCGAGCGCCACGAACTTCACCTCGAAGTGGAGAGGCACTAGAACTCTGCTTGCTACAGTGTTCGTGTGGCCTAAACACAGGCTTGAGGCGTTATGGAACCAAACAGGAATGTTGACGTGAAGAGGAGCTTTAAGTTCAACGTCGCAGTTCGCCCGCGGCAACCCTATGGGAGACAGTGCGCCCTTAAGCTCGTTGACTGCATGTCGGAAAGAGGCTCCAATATTGACTGTGCACGATGGAGTTGAAGAGTGTTGAGCATTCTGACTGGGCCATTCGCCGGCGTGGATCCCTGAACCGAGTGTATCCGATCATCTTAAAGCTGCAGCAGAATCGAGGATGTCCAGGGCATTATGCCCAAAACGCCCGACTGAAGCATTCTTGATGAATTTCAAGGTATGGCAGATTCAGCGTAGATGCCCTGACCCCTTCCAAGCCCCATGATACTTCAACTTGAAACATTCCAAATTCAGGCAGGTGGCATGCCCTATTTCTGCTGCAAGGCCAATGAATTTCTTGCAACGTATCGCCGATCTCCGAGCTTAGCTCAAAGCGTCTGTGGCCTGGCCATGGCATGGGGAGCAGTGACGATTTTTACCGCTCTGAAAAAACAGCCAAGGAAACACCGAAACTTGAAGTTAAAGCGGCAAGCATGGCTTCGTGCCTTCGCCAGAGCAAAGAAGAGGGTTCCGGGCACTGTGAGGAATTCGATTTCACGGGAAATGCACCGCTGCCGTGTGAAAAAAAGGGTCAGCACGGAAGGGTCGACCAGAGAGCGAAGTATCGAAGCTTGTAAACCCAAAGATGCAACCACCCACCCTCTCCTGCCAAGAAACTGGGAAACCCAAGAAACCCTCAAACCAACACAATTCTCGTGGTCATCATAAAAGCCGCTACAGCCCTAAACTTGCCGTAAAGCTAGCCCCGCGAACTACCCTCTAGCATATTCGCAATACCCATTATTGCGGACATTAAGGGCTTCATTAAAGGGTAATTCGGGGGTCCTGGAGCCCCCCTTTCAGCTTCGGAAGTAAGACCCAGATCGAAGCCTCCTGGCCCCTGCTTCGGCCATATCCGCTGCCTGGGGCTCCTCCACCTGCGCCCGCAGAGGCCGCGATGCTGTTTTTTTTTTGAGGGGGTGCCATAACAGTTACAACGAAGTTCCGTGAAAGCGGTTACTATATGAGTGATAAGGGCTACTATAAGGGCATCTATATTGTCTTGCGGGGCCTTAAGAACTATTTCAAGAAGGTTCCTCTAAGGGATCGAGAACTGGTAGAGTGCGGCAAACAGCAACTCAAGGGTTCGGTAATTCTTTTTTGGGGACCTTAAAACTGCTTTCATGGGGTTTGTTCAGATTTCTACAATACCAAACTAAACCTCCGGCACGCTGAGCTGCTGCAACGTTCGGGAACCTTCGGTGCACACTCCGAGGCTTCTTAAAATAGGGATACCCTACTTAGGGCCTAGGGGACCTGATGACACGGATCCTGCCGTATGGTTTTGTGCTCGGGTGCTCTTTCTGAAACTCCCACGGTATCCGCGTTGCTTCAAGATTCATCAGCGTGGCTATTCACAGACCCCTGTGACAAGAGCGAACAACTCTGTCGTGAGAGCCAACACCGGCTGCCCTCGAGGCCTCCCCCAATCGCAGGATGCAGAAACCGAGGAAAAAGAACGGGATGCTAACCTTTTGGATGCAAACGCTGGGGTTCTGAGGATTTCGGCTTCTGAGCATCGCATTGCAGTCAGGCTCGCTGTTCCGGAGCGCACGATCTCTGATGGCGATTTCTGATGGCTTAATTCATGGTACACCGAGCCCTGCGCAATAACCAAGAGTGTCGAGTTCATCGCCACAATCACAGTCCTTGCCGGCATGCAAAGATGGATCTGTGAGCCGGTCCCGTCTCCGGCATCACAATTTGCCATTTGTTGCTGTTATTGTTACTATTCTGATGATGTTTACTATTACGTACTGTCATTGCGATTATGGCTATTACTATGATTGCAACCAGCTTTTTGACAACTATTGTTTTCGACAAATGGTATATTTAGTAGTATTGTGTTGATCCTTACTGGTATTGGTACTGGTTTTTATTGCTGCTAATATTAGTACGATCATTACGACTATTTCTCATTCTGGTATAAACTTACTGTTATGATTTTCTCTACCCTTACTGCTTCCATATACTTGGCGAGTCACATGAAGTCGTCGGGCTGGCAGCTTATCAGCAAACCACCTTGGAGCAAAACCCAGGCTCTGAGTTGGTTCACATACCAACAAAGCGGGTTAACACGAAAA